ATTTGGTGAATCTCGTGATGCAATTCTGCTGTTGGTTCGAGGTCACGACTATTTGGACTCATATGTATGATGCTGTTGGATTGCTGAAGTTCGCTATTGCTCATCTTCCTTGCAATTTGGTATCGGAGCTGTGGTACGTTTGCGCTCATCTGGCGCTTGTCTTCTGCCTGGTACGGTACATACATGTGGTCTGCTTGGCGAGTTTGGCCGTAAGTGGTGTGTAGTGAGGAGGGCGGAGGCGAGTGAGTGGCGACCCAGGAGGTGAGGGGATCGCCAGGAAGGCTACGTGGAGTGAATGTGGTCTGGACAGTGTGATGGGAACTATCTAATGTGCGATTGATGCTGAGGTGGAACGGCGAGATAAGGCTGGTTGTGCCAATGCAGTGACTGGTCATCGCAATCGCCATTTGGTCATCTGGCGAGATTATCTCTGTGGTTGGGGGCAGCTATTTGAGGTACGTTGCTCTTGACCTTATCTACCCTCTTCGACACTTCTTATCGTGAGGTTGTGTGTTCGTTCTTGAGAGTCCTCTCGTTGTGAGGTGTCGAGTGCGCTCAACCTTGAGAGTTGTCAATGTTCACGTGGAGCATCTGGGAGAAGATGGGCGGAGCTTTCTGAAGGGCCCTGGACGAAGCACTGGGTCACGGTCACCATGCCAACCCACAGGGAGTAGAGCACGCATGCCTTGCTGCTAGTCCTTTGTTCGGCTTGCTGCGCTGTTAGATGGGTACTGATGGGCAGGCCAACCCTTAAGGGAGACGAGACCGGGTGTCTTTAAATAAGCACCGGAAGGGGAACCATTGGCTGTGATCGTCATCCGGCTGCGACGTAAAAGAATTCCTGGAGTCACTTGGGGGCGGACGTTAAATTGCCTCTGGATCAGCCAATGGTTGTAAGGCTCACTGCACGCGAGGATAATCCAGTGCAGGGCTGGCCAGCTCAGCAGATACTCGGGGCACAGGGGTGGGCTGAACACACACCTTTAGACACGTGACGCTCTCCAGATTGCTCAGGGACGCTGACGTCAAGTGATACTCAGGGGAACTAAGGAAGGGGTGGATTCCAGGTGATAAGTTCGAGAAAATTCCATGTTGTCCTATCCACACAAATGATTCTATTTTTATGTT